TGGTTTATTGGAGATAGGAGTCTCACGGTCTTTCCTGCCTGGGCTGGCTTTGAACTGCGATCCTCAGATCTCAGCCTCCTGAGTAGCTAGGATTATAGGCGTGAGCCACCAGCACCCAGCTACTCAAGACTATTGATTTGCCACTTAAGCCATATCTCCACTTTCAGCTCTTTGATGGTTAATTGGACATAAGAGTCTCACGGACTTTCCTCCCCAAGCTAGCTTCAAGTAGTGATCCTCAGATCTCTTGGCCTCCTAAAAAGCTAGAATACTGTATGAGAAACCTGGCTTCATTTCAGTTCTTTTTTTTTTTGTCGGTCGTGGGGCTTGAACTCTGGGCCTGGGCACTGTCCCTCAGCTCTGCAGCTCAAGGCGAGCGCTCTACCACTTGAGCTACAGCGCCACTTCCGGTTTTCTGGTGGTTTATTGGAGATAGGAGTCTCACGGTCTCTCCTGCCTGGGCTGGCTTTGAACCGCGATCCTCAGATCTCAGCCTCCTGAGTAGCTAGTATTACAGGCGTGAGCCACCAGCGCCCGGCTCATTTCAGTTCTTAAACCAGCAACCCAGAGTTAACACATATCTCCTTAGGTTAAAGGTTCAGTACCATAAAACCACTCCTTTGACACAACAGTTAGGTCCCTCTTATTTGTGACCAATGGGTTATAGTTCAGGGGCTCATACAACTTCCTTAGATTTAGTAATTTGCTAGCGTGACTTAAACTTGGGAAAGTGTTTTATTTACTGTAAAAGGTACATCTTCAGACTAGCCAGACAGAAGCATTGCATAGGGCCAAGATGTGAGGAGTAAAGCCTCCATACTCTCTCTCTAGGTTTGCTTCTCTCCCAGCATCTTGACACATTCGGCAACCCAGAACTTCTCCAGGCCCTCTGAGTTCCTTATGGAGGTTTTATACATAGGCATGATTGACTAGATAATTGGCCACTGTGACTAATTTGATCCTCAGATACTGTCCCCCTCTGGGAAGTTGGCAAATGAGTTCCCAAGAGCCCACTTCTGATTCTGCTAGGTCTTTCTGGCAACCAGCCCAATCTTGAAACTCCATGTAGGGTTCCAATAAGAGCAGCTTAATTAGAGCAAAAAGGTTCCTGTCACTCAGGAAATTAGGAGCTCTATGTCAGGAGCCTGGGACAGACCACACAAATATTACTGTTTCTTGTTGGGTCTCACATCCTCATGGTGTCATTAGTGTTTCTTTTCTTTCTTTTTTTTTTTGTCAGTCATGGGGCTTGAACTCTGGGCTTGGGTACTATCTCTCATCTCTTCAGCTCAAGGT